CTAAAGAATTAAAAAATATACTTTGTCTCTGTATCCCACACTATGTACTTCATCCTCCATCCATTCATTCATTTAATCACTCATCAAACACTTCCCTCCCTGACCCCTTACTAGGAACAAGGTACCATGCTACTCACTGGGGGGCCAAGAAGAATCCAAGAATCTTCTGCCTTCTAGGGGCTCACACTGGAGGGGGGAAAACGGATGCAGAAGAGACAGTATTTACCAAATGCTTTCTTACATTTCCTAGCCTCCATTGCAATTAAGTTGGAGCCTTGTCACAAGTTCTGTCCGGTGAACTGTGACCACAAGTGATGCATATCACTTCTGGCCTAAGGCAGCTATGAACTGGTGTGACTTTAACAACTTTCTCCCCTTGCAGTGATGACCTTGGAGGTCACATGTGCTTAGATGACACAGCCACGGGATGGGCAGGGCCCCAGACTGGGTTAGATCCTGCCTGAAGGAGATATAAACCTTGATTGTATTGTTATTCTCCCTCCTTTTTTTTATTGTGGCAAAATATACATAACTTAAATTTTTAACCATTTTAACCATTTTTAAGTGTGCAACTCAGTGGCATTAGGTACAGTCCCAGTGTATACCCTTTTATTTTCAACAAATAAGTGAACAAGTGCTCTTTTGAAACTTTGTGAGTCTCCCCCACAACTTTTTAGTGCCCAGTGATGATTTTTGCTGGATACTGTTATTATCACATAATTTTATTTTATTTTTTAAAGATTTTATTTATTTGAGAAAGAGAGTGAGTGAGAGAGCGCGAGCGGGGGGAGGAGCAGAGGGAGAGGGAGAAGCAGACACCCCGCTGAGCAGGGAGCCCGATGCAGGGCTCTATCCCAGGACTCCAAGATCATGACCTGAGCCGAAGGCAGACGCCCAACCAACTGAGCCACCCAGTGCCCCTTATCACATCATTTTAATACGACACACTTATGAGGTTGATTTTACTAATATTCCCTTTTACAGATGAGGAAATTGGAGCACAGAAAGTTTAAGTAATTGCCCAACTTAAATAATGTATTATGTATTAGGTGGGGTGGGATATTGAACCACGTCTGACTGTAACGTTCAAAGCATGCTTTATAGCAGGGGTTGGCACACTATGGCCTGTGGCCCAAATCTGCCACCTCTTTTTGTGATAAAGTTTTATTGGGACACAACCACACCCATTTGTTTACATATTATCTTTGGCTTAGAGGCCCAAGTTTTATAGTTGTGACAGAGACCATGTAGCCTGCAAAACCTAAGATATTTACTATCTGGCACTTTAAAGAAAAGGTTTGCTGACCTCTGCTTTATATAACAGGTCTTTAAATTTTTTATTCTGATTTTTATTAAAATAATACATGTACATATTGGAAAGTGAAATAGTGCTAAAAGTTTTATTTGGAAAAAGATCCCTGCTACACTATTCTCCACCCCAGTCCCACCCGTCGGAGACAGATCCGCTGCATTCTTTCCTTTCTTTTTAAGTAGGGATTTGAACTCATGACTCTGAGTTCAAGACCTGAGCTGAGGTCAAGAGTCGGACACAACCAACTGAGCCACCTGGGGGGAGGGGGAAGGGTAGAGGAGAAGCAGACTCCTCAATGAGCAGGGAGCCTGATGTGGGACTTGGTATCAGGACCTGAGTTGAGGCAGACGCTTAACTGACTGAGCCACCCAGGCACTCTCCCCACTTTGTTCTTTTAACTATTTTTTCTGGCATTTACAATTGCATTCTAAATATGATCCTTATTCCACTATTTCCTGTTGTAACAATTTTAAATTGTTGGGTTTTTTTTTTTTTAAAGATTTTATTTATTTATTTGACAGAGAGAGACACAGCGAGAAAGGAACACAAGCAGGGGGAGTGGGAGAGGGAGAAGCAGGCTTCCCGCCGAGCAGGGAGCCCAATGCAGGGCCCGATCGCAGGACCCTGGGATCATGACCTGAGCCGAAGGCAGACGCTTAACAACTGAGCCACCCAGGTGCCCCTGTTGGTTGTTTTTTTTTTAAAGTAATCTCTGTGCCCAACGTGGGACTTGAACTCACAACCCGAGATCAAGAGTCTAGTGCTCTATCAGCTGAGCCAGCCAGGCACCCAACCTGTTTTAATAGATTGTGTGTGTGTGTGTATGTGTGTGTTCCAATTTCTCCACATCCTCAACTAACATTGGTTATTCTCTGTCTTTTTTATTGTAGCTATCCCAGCATATGTGAAGTGTTTCTTTTTTTTAAAGTTTTTATTTAAATTCCAGTTAGTTAACATATGGGTATAATATTAGTTTCAGGTATATAATATATTGATTCTATTTTAACAATTTTTTGTTTTATTTTTTTAAGTTTATTTATTTATTTAAATACTCTCTACTCCCAACATGGGGCTTGAACTCACGACCCCAAGATCAAGAGTCGCATGCTCTTCTGACTGAGCCAGCCAGGCGCCCCTGTTATAACCATTTTAGACACTTAATTAATTAACCTAGTGTAGGCCACCCTTCTACTTTTTCAGTGCCAGATTAGAAATAATTGATCATTCTTAGTTGAAATGTAGTGTTTTATGATCATTTAAATAATCTTTTGCATTTTCATCATACTGTACATAAGAAAGTTAAAACGCACTTAGCAATAGCTAACCTTTTAGGACTTCTTGTGTGTCCTATTCTAATGCAGTTTTCAAGCAGTATCATGTTAATCTCGACAGAACCCGGAGGAAATGCAGGTATTATTCCTTTGTCCATTTTCTAGATGAGAGAACATCCTTTAGAGAGATTGTGTGATTTTTTTCCCTTAGTCAAGCACCTAGTGGGTGTATAGCCAGAAACTGACGTTTAGAACTTGAGCCCCTAAACGCTGTATTGCAGCGCCATGGGAGCGTCCCGCCACCTAACATTCCTAGCTCTGTAGTTTTACTGTCAGCAAATAACCTGAAGACTACAGCAAGCAAGTTTGCTGACGCACAACTTTTTTTTTTTTTTTTTTTTTGCCAAGTACTGTTTATCTTTATTTTGCACACACCCACAGCCAGTTTGCACCGAGTGATTTCATTTTACAAAAGGAGGCAAGGGTTGGGTGGTGTCAAGAAAGGTGACCTGTAGGGCGCCTGGGTGGCTCAGTCGTTAAGCGTCTGCCTTCGGCTCAGGTCGTGATCCCGGGGTCCTGGGATCGAGTCCCGCATCGGGCTCCCTGCTCAGCGGGAAGCCTGCTTCTCCCTCTCCCGCTCCCCCTGCTTGTGTTCCCTCTCTCCCCGTGTCTCTCTCTGTCAAATAAATAAATAAAATCTTAAAAAAAAAAAAAAAAAGGTGACCGGTAGAAAAGAATAGGAAGACAAACATTGGGAGCACATAATTAAAAATTTTTTTGAACACACCAAAGAATCCTGCAGTGCTGCCCGCAGCGGCTGCAACCCTGGGCCACACGCGTGCACACTCCTTTGCAACTGGTCCGGTGACCGCAGCACCTTTCAGTTCGCCTTTACTGTTCACTGTGACCCCCACGTTACCTTCGAAACAGGGACACACACCGGCTTTTCTCCAGTAGGACTTGCGTTGTCCAGTTACCTGCCGGATATACCTTCTTTCTGAACTTGGTTTGCCTTTCTTCACTCTGGCCATCATCATGTCACCCCCACCAGCAGCAGGAAGCCGGTTCCATCCCTGATCCCCTTCGCCGAGATCATCTACAGATTTTTGGCTCCTGTGCTGTCAGCACAGTTGGTCTCGGCTCCTACTGGAAGACCCAGGGAAATCTGGAATTTCACACCGGAGGACCCACCATGTCCTCGCTTCCACATCTTGAACGCTGGAAAGGGACAGAAAGGCTGGGGCACAATATTGAATCCATCTGCTCTGAGACGGGTGTAGGGGTCAGTCAGGTAGTGGGTCAGCCAGTTGCAGGTGCTTCTGAGGGTAATTCTGTTTTCTAATGGACTATACATTTGCATAGTCTCAGTCTAATGCATTGGCTCCCCAACTTGAGCTTGTGTCAGAATCACCTGGTGCCTTGGGCAAGCACTAACTCCTGGGCCTCCGCTCTAGTTTCTGATCCAGGAGGTCTAGGGTAGGACCTGAGGGTTTGCATTTCTAGTAAGTTCCCAGGTGATGATGATGCTGCAACAGACCTAACTGGTCTAACGCTTTATTCTTCCTGAATGTTAGGGCTGTCCACACTGCTCTCTCTTGCTCTTTAACTTCCCTGTTAGTCTTCCCCTACCAGCCAGCTTGTTAGCTCCTGGAAAGTCGGTCAGTTATTATGACTTTTACCTTTTTTAAAAAATACATATATTTTATTTATTTCTTTGAGAGAGAAAGAGAGCATGAGCAGAGGGAGAGGGGAAAAGCAGACTCTGCACTGAGCAGAGAGCCCGATATGGGGCTTGATCTCAGGACCCCAAGATCATGACCTGGGCTGAAGATAGACACTTAACTGACTGAGCCACCCAGGCGGCCCTGGCTTATACTTCCCTTTTTGACCCCACTGAGGCCAGGATCATGTTGTTCATATAGTAGTAGTAATCAGTTGCTTGATTAATCTCCCTTGGAGTGTCTTTGTAATTTTGACTTTTTCAATGATAAATATTGCAATTATAATACATTCTAATTATAAAAATCACCTTTAATAACACCATCACCCTAGCAAACATTTCATGGTTTGTTTTTTTAAGTAGGCTCCATGCCCAACATGGGGCTTGAACTCATGACCCTGAGATCAAGGTTCGCATGCTCTACCAACTCAGCCAGCCAGGCGCCCCCACCCTAGCAAGAATTTTAACAGAAGGGTATAAGTGGTCCCTAAAGGATTTTCAATGCCATGTTGGAGGGTAGCTAAGCACTGAGGAACTTAGTCCTTGATTGGGGCAGTGCTTACAAATAAAGTGTTAAGTAAATAAAGCGACTTATAGGATACTACATATGGATGATTTAATCTGATTTTGAGTAGAGGCTCCTGTTTTTTATCTTTTAGCATTCTTTGAGATCTTTTTAAATCTTCTGTTTTTACAGAGGTCACCCGGAATCAACATGTCTGGGACTGAGGAAGCAGTTCTTGGAGGCTGTGGCAGCCATCCTTCCTCTGCTGGTGGCAACTCTGTATTATGCTTTGGACAGGTAACTGTGTGTTTTTCATACCTGGGAAGAATGAGGTTAAGTGAAAAGGTAGGAGAAAGTAATTTGTAGAGCATCGTCATATACTTGGAAGCTATTTATTGTCAGTGGGTTTTCCGTTAGGTGCATTTTTTGGGAGTCTGATAAACTCTCAGGGCATTGTGGAACTTTAGCATTAGTACTGGGGATTACATTTAGATTTACATTTTGTTTATTTTTTTGGATAGATTACATATTCACGTGGTAAAACATTCAAAATGAAACATAGACTATATGTGAATGAAAAGGCTTACTCTTTCCCCATCACTCCTATCCGCATTTCACCCAGTTCCAAAGATTCTGGTGTCATATTCTTTGTGGAGATATTCTGTGCATATAAAAGAGATTCTTGCTTTGTCCGCTCGATTCCATCTTTGTCTATACCAGAGATCTGTTGGTTCAAAGGTATTTCATTTAAATAGGGCAAGGGGAAAACTACCAAGGGGACAAAAGTCAAAACAAGTAGTAGTATATTTATGTACGTGTAGGATGGAAAATTGTTGAATTAGAGAAGAGGTATTTCCCCTACTCCCTTGCGGGCATAAACATATATACAGACTCTGAGGCGGGACGTTTTAGTTTACCAATTCTGGCTTGAGAAAGTTTTGTCAGGAGGGTGGTGACACCAGGGCAATGCCTCTCAAAATGTGGCCCAGTGACCCCCAGAGGTTCACCAGACCTCTTCCGAGTGCATGAGGTCAAGAAGAGTTCCTTAATAATACTAAAATACTTCTTGCCTTTTCCTTTCATTCTCTCTGAGTGAACAGTGGGGCTCTCCAGAGCACGCACGGCCTGGGGGGATGCTGCTTTGACGGCTGATGGAAGGTGTGCCTTAGAAGTTTCTCAGTTTTAATTCCTAGTATTGGTAGACATAACCCTGTAAACAAGAGCTCCTAGGGTCCTCAATACTTTTTAAGAGTGTAAAGGGTCTGGAGACCAAAAAGTTGAAGACTTGCTGACGTAGGAATGGGGGAAATGTCAATTTAATTTTCCTCTCTGGATTGCAGTATCAGTACACAGCAGAAGAGTACCAGGCCATCCAGAATGCTCTGAGGCAGAGGCTGGGCCCGGAATACATCAGTAGCCGCACGGCTGGAGGAGGCCAGAGGGTAGGAGAGTTGATATGCTTGAAAATTGGGTGCCCCTCTAGCTGGCTACTCAGAGGATCTCGCTCCCTCTCTGGGTCTTCACGGATTCAGAAGGTCTCCTGCTCACTGTTGCTAGATGTTTCCTAGTGTCTTCGGGAGGGGATGGGTTCCAGCCGTCATTGTCATCTGAAGCGACCGAAGTGTTGTCTTGAGACTTCCAACCTGCCATCTTGGGATTGTTACACCGTCTTTTAAAAATGTTTCTTTTACCCTTTGCTTCTAATTTTCACTTCTGTGTATATTTTTGGTCTTCAATAATATATGTCAGCCTGAGACTTGTACTTTTTTGGAAACTGTGAGTTTTGGAAACTGCTAGGTGAGTGGATATCTTTCCCCTCTGAGTCTAGTCCCTCCCTCCAGACAAAACATTAGTTCTAACTGGTTCCTTCTGGAAGATCTTTGAAATAAGTTCACTGAGAATTTCCCTGGAATGTTAAAGGGCAGTTTTGCCAAAAAAGCTGGTAAGGAGTAAATTAAGTAAATTTTGATTGTCATTTAAGTATGGCAGGGAATTTTAATAAGCTTTTTTTTTTTCCTCTTTAATTTCTTTTCCCAGGTATGTTACATTGAAGGTCACAGGGTAATTAATCTGGCCAATGAGATGTTTGGTTACAATGGCTGGGCACACTCTATCACACAGCAGAATGTGGGTATGTTTCCTGGCAACAGTGACTTCTTCATTTCCCTTACTTTGGTACTAATTTCGGATGAGAGTATTTTGTGGGTGAGGATGTAGGGTAGGTGTATTTTGTTGCCAGTAGGATATGGGTGAGGCACAGGGATCAGTATCCTCTTCAACTGGTTCTCTTTCCCACTCCTAGATTTTGTTGACCTTAACAATGGCAAGTTCTACGTGGGAGTCTGTGCATTTGTGAGAGTCCAGTTGAAGGTGAGGGTGATGGAATAGACCCACTGCCTCCAAGGACCGGGTGGGTGGTAAGAGAGAATGAACAGGTAGAGAATTCTCTGGCCTGGGCCTAGAGAGCTAGGCTCTAGAGCTGGGGCTCAGCCAGTGTTCCTTAGGATGGTGGTACCCAAATATTCTTACTCATGTGCCCCCTAAATGAATTCTGAAAAACTTGTGTTTTCCTGCACATTTTAAGCTGACACCTAAAAATTTTCACCCAAAGTATAAATGCAGATCCTCTGCATTTCAAAATTTTGTGTTACACCACTCTGCTTTTATGAAAGACCTATGCTGGTACCTGTTTTCGCTTAACTGAAAGAAATCCAGAGAAGATTTTCGCTTTTGTGAAAAAAGGCACACCCTGGTGGCAAGAGTGGCCCCGCGAGTCCATCCCTGGGAACCACACTCAGCATCTCGGCAGAGCTTTGAACGCCATCTGTGAGCATCTGTGTTTTATCTCCATATGTTTTGTGCATCCGTTAGCAAGATGTGTCCTAAGGTATCAGAAAAGCCTAAGAGAGGTTATTTTTTGCATCTGGGAATGCTCAAAAGTATTTCCATATAAATTAATGGTAATTCTCTGCTTTATGCCATTTTGGCTTACGAAAGTTTTCATGAGAACATTCTACTTTTGGATAACAGGGCAAACCTGTAGTTGCAACGGTATGTTTTTTAGCATATTGTAAAATCTGACATTCTAAAATAAATCTGTTACATTTTTATCTTCCTTTTTTATTCAAGTGTAATTAACATATGGTGGTATATTAGTGTCAGGTGTACAATATAGTGATTCAACACTTCCGTACATTTCTCACGGCTCATCAGGATAAGTGTCTCCTTGGTCCCCTTTATTCCACGTATATTTTGTTACATCCTTTTTAAATGTACCAATGGATTTTAAATATCATAAACGATTAAATACTGTCATCCACTTAAAAAAATACACGAGCAAGCTATTCTTTTTTTTTTTTTAAAGATTTATTTATTTATTTGAGAGAGCGAGAATGAGAGAGAGAGAGTACATGAGAGAGGGGAAGGTCAGAGGGAGAAGCAGGCTCCCTGCTGAGCAGGGAGCCCGACGCGGGACTCGATCCCGGGACTCCAGGATCATGACCTGAGCCGAAGGCAGTCGCTTAACCAACTGAGCCACCCAGGCGCCCCAGCTAATTCTTTAATCATGAGAAATTTTACATTGTTTCTTCTCAAACTCATATTTCCGTTCTATCTCCCCATTGGCTTTTGTCAGTATATATATATATATATATGTGTGTGTGTGTGTATGTATATATGTGTATGTATATGTATATATGTATAAACAAAATACATGTTTGGAATATATGTATATGTTTGGAATATATATTTTATATATATTATATGTGTTCAGAACCTTTTATTAATAACCTTAGCATATTCCTCTGTGTATGTATGTGTATATAAAAGTATTTTTTTTTAAGATTTTTTATTTATTTATTTGACAGAGAGACAGACACAGCGAGAGAGGGAACACAAGGAAGGGGAGCGTGAGAGGGAGAAGCAGGCTTCCCGCAGAGCAGGGAGCCCGATGCGGGGCTTGATCCCAGGATCCTGGGATCATGACCTGAGCTGAAGGCAGACGCTTAACGACTGAGCCACCCAGGCGCCCCTAAAAGTAATTTTTTTGGGTAAATTTTCAGTGACCTTAAGGCTCTAAATTATAAAAAATTTCTTCTGGATTGAGTTACTATTACAGGTATTATTAACACAAAATTAATCAGTCAATTGGGTCTATGAGGGGGACAAAATAACTACATCAAAATTTATATACTTAATAAAAATGAATTTTTATGGAAAATGCATTTCTTTTTTTTTTTAAGATTGTATTTATTTATTTGTCAGAGAGAGCGAGCCCAAGTAGGGGAGTGGCAGGCAGAGGGAGAGGCAGACTCCCCGCTGAGCAGGGAGCCCGACGCAGGGCTTGATCCAGGACCCTGGGATCATGACCTGAGCTGAAGGCAGATGCTTAACCGACTGAGCCACCCACGGGCCCCAGGAAAATGCATTTATTAATGAGATGGATGAAGCTTTTTTTCTTTTTAGATAGTTTATATGTCCATCATTTAATATTACTTTTTCCTAGATAGAACATTCAGCATTAATTCTATTCTAACTTCTCATTTTTATAATTAGTACTGAAAAACCTTACATAAATAAACTGGGAATGGAGAGAGTGTTGTTACAGTGTCACTCATTTCTTTGAATAAGCTTTCTGAGTTATACCTCAAAAATCAGAGTCCTGTCATCCAAAATTATATTCGGTTCTCTATCAGCTAATAACTTGATCAGGTGTACCTTCATTTTTGGTGAAAGCCAAGAAATGGATACCTGCCTAACCCATAAAAAGATTTGCTATCCAGTCGTTAAGAGTCTGTTAAATACAGTATTTCACATTTTCCTTTTGTTTAGTGTCCCAGAGGTTTTTATACCTTGGGGTAATGCACCTTAGTAAGACTTAGGATGGGTTAGCTATGTGTCTTTTTTATTTCATTTTATTTTATTTATATTTTTTATTTTTTAAAGATTTTATTGATTTATTTGTCAGAGAGAGAGTACAAGCAGGGGGAGCGGCAGGCAGAGGGAGAGGGAGAAGCAGACTCCCTGCTGAGCAGGGAGCCCAATGTAGGGCTCGATCCCAGGACCCTGAGATCATGACCTGAGCCGAAGGCAGATGCTTAACAGACTGAACCACCCAGGCGCCCCAGATATGTGCCTTTTTTATGTGAAAGAGGAAGTGGGAAGGGAGAATTGTCTTGCACATTTACGCGGAGATCAGGTCTAGAAGGTAGTGCTGGAAATTAATTCTCTTCCAACTCTGTGCCCGTGTGCCCTTTAGCAAGGCGCCTGGGTTCTGTGCGCCTGGTGCGAACGCCCTTGAGGGCGAGAAAAGCTGTGGAACCAGGGACACGGCTGCAGCTTTTCATGTTGGAGTCTGAACTCCTTTTCTACCCGCAGGATGGCTCATATCATGAAGATGTGGGCTATGGTGTCAGTGAGGGCCTCAAGTCAAAAGCCTTGTCTTTGGAGAAGGCCAGGAAGGAGGCTGTAACCGACGGGCTGAAGCGAGCGCTGAGGTGAGCACAAGGGCTGGGGTTTAACCTGCGTCAGTTTTATTTCCTGTTCGTTTGTTTAAAACATAATTCGTTCACGTGGTACGAAAGTTAAAATAACTTTATAAATTATAATTTATATATATATTTTTATAAAATAATAAAATAACCCACGTCTCACTCCCCCTTGTCCCCCTCGGCCCTGTTTCCTACACTTCGTATTTTCCCCATGCTTCTTTATGCTTAGGTCTGCCTTCTTTGGGATCAAGTGGTAGAATACTATATTCTCTACTCTGTACTTCACTTTGCATACCCCCGTCTCAGTCGTGTGTCTTGGAGACCTTTCCACACAAGGACAGAGATAGCTTCCCCATTCTCTTTAAAACACCTAAACAGTGTTTCCTTGGGTATGTACAACTTAGGTGCATAGAACAAGGGTTTTTTTAACCTTTTTTGGGGTCTTACATGGCCTTTGAGAATTGAAGTGAATTGGATCACACATGTATGAACCTACAGTAAAAACTTGCTGTACCATAACCCATACAGGAGGCCAGATGTCCCAAGTAAAGAACTTCAGTCGTGGAGGAGGATGTGCCCTAAGTGTGTGTTGCCCACTATTATTGGGGAATTGGAACCGTCCTTGGAAAAAGAATTCTCTGCTTTGGAGTTGGTGCTAATGGAGTTTTGTGGTTTCTTAGTCTTTTCGTCCTCCTTACCTCTTGTCTTTTTTTTTTTTTTTTTAAAGATTTTATTTATTCATTTATTTGAGAGAGTGAGAGAGCACATGAGAGGGGGGAAGGTCAGAGGGAGAAGCAGACTCCCTGCCGAGCAGGGAGCCCGATGCGGGACTCGATCCCGGGACTCCAGGATCGTGACCTGAGCCGAAGGCAGTCGCTTAACCAACTGAGCCACCCAGGCACTCCTCCTTACCTCTTGTTGAGGGCAGAGATTGGTGACTGTTACGCCCTGTGCTGTATTCTGAAAGCCTCATACAGAGGGCGTGAACATGGCACGTGCCCAGGAAACGTTACTGCATGTATATTAGGTTCCATCTCCTCTGCCGCAGTTGAGAAGCACCTTGCCACAAAGGTAGCTGGTCTCTGATATTTACCCCTAATCATTCTCAACCTGTTTCTCACTCTTTTTTTTTTTTCCTTACCCTTAGAAGTTTCGGGAATGCACTTGGAAATTGTATTCTGGACAAAGACTATCTGAGGTCACTAAATAAGCTTCCCCGCCAGGTATGTTAGAAATGGATGGATGGAATGCAGCACAGTAAAGATAGGACTATTTTCCGGCTGGCATGGGTTGAGTATTCCGGGAGGGAGAGAGAAGGGGAGACTCAGCTCTTTCGAGGGTCTGGAATGTGCATTTCAGACTTGTTTGACCACCAGAGCCAGCAGGAACCAGTCACCTTATTTTCCTGCTGGAGGAATTGAAGCCTCGAGAATCGGTGCCACTTGCTTTCTTCCGCCCGAGAGCTGTGTTCGGAACGGTCTGTGAAACCTGAAAAGGAGCACAGAGCCCCGGCAGCGCCCGGTGGTTCCTTAGCAACACTCAGCAAGAACCCACCTCTTCAGCCTTCTTGCTGCTCCTGCGCTCAAGGGGCCACGGCGTAGATGCCCTTGGCTCTGCCCGAGCCTATCACGCGAGCCGCGCCTTGGCCTTTGGAGACAGGGGTCCGGAATGGCGCGGCCCTGGCCTCGCTCTTGGCGGGGCTGAGGGGGGGGCGGAGCGTGCCTGTGGCCGGCGGAGTGGCTGCCGACTCCGGGGCCGGGGCCGGGCCGGGGCGTTCTCGAAGAGCCCCGCAGTGCCGCCGCCCACAGCTGCCGCCTGGGGACACCTGACAGCCGGGAGTGGCACTGGGCAGCTGTCAAAACGCCACTTTCCCTTGTTAAAATCCTTTTTATACACTACTGGCCTCCGCTTATATTTTAAGAATTTTTGCATCTGTGTTTATGAGGGATATTAGGGGGTTTTTTTTATTATTGTGGTAAAAAAATAACATAAAATTGACCATTTTAGCCATTTTTAAGTGTATAGTTCACTGATGAAACAGATCTCCAGAACTTTTAATCTTGGGATACTGCAACTTCACACCCATAGGACAACCCCCCATTTCCCCTTCTCACAGCCCCTGGTTACCAGCATTCTACTTCCGGTTCCTGTGAATTTGACCACTTTAGACGCCACATGCAAGTGGAATCATACTGTTTGTTTTTCTGTGACTTATTTCACTTGGCATAATGGCCTCAAGTTTCATCTATGTTGTAGCTTGTGTCAGAAGTACCCTCCTTTTTTTCGGCATGCCTGGCTGGCTCAGTCGGTAGAGTGTGGGACCCTTGATTTCAGGGTTTAAGTTCAAGCCGCATGTTGGGTGTAGAGATCACTTAAACATAAAGTCCTTAAAAAAAAAAAAAAAAAGAATTATGTTCCTTTTTAAGGCTGAATAATCCACTGTATGCATACACCAGATTTTCTTTAATTTTTCCATCAATGGACATCTGGTGGCTTTCATCTCTTGACTTGAGAATAGTGCTGTTATGAACATGGTTTTGCAAATACCTCTTTAAGACCCTGCTTTCAGTTATTTTAGATATATCCAGAGGTGGGTTTGCTGGATCATATGGTAGTGTTTTTGTTCTTTTTTTTACACAGAGCTTGAGCTCACCACCCTGAGGTCAAGACCTGAGCTCAGATCAAGAGTTGGACACTTAACTGACTGAGCCACCCCCGTGTCCCCATATGGTATTTTTTTTTATTCTTATGTTAATCCCCATACATTACATCATTAGTTTTAGATGAAGTGTTCCATGATTCATTGTTTGCGCATAACACCCAGTGCTCCATGCAGAATGTGCCCTCCTCAATACCCACCACCAGGCTAACCCATCCTCCCACCCCCCTCCCCTCTAGAACCCTGTTTGTTTTTCAGAGTCCATCGTCTCTCATGGTTCGTCTACCCCTCCGATTTCCCCCGCTTCATTCTTCTTCTCCCGCTACCTTCTTCTTTTTTTTTTCTTAACATATATTGCATTATTTGTTTCAGAGGTACAGAGCTGAGATTCAACAGTCTTGCACAATTCACAGCGCTTACCAGAGCACATACCCTCCCCAGTGTCTATCACCCAGTCACCCCATCCCTCCCACCTCACCCCCCACTCCAGCAACCCTCAGTTTGTTTCCTGCAATTAAGAATTCCTATCAGTGAGGTCATATGATACATGTCTTTCTCTGTTTGACTTATTTCACTCCACATAATACCCTCCAGTTCCATCCACGTCGTTGCAAATGGCAAGATCTCATTCCTTTTGATAGCTGCATAATATTCCATTGTATATATAAACCACATCTTTATCCATTCATCTGTCGATGGACATCTTGGCTCTCCCATATGGTAGTTTTTTGAAGAACTTCCACACTGTTTTCTGTAGTGGCCACAACATTTTATAGTTCAACCAACAGTGCACAAGTGCTCCAATTTCTCTACATCCTTACCAACACTTGTTATTTTCTGCTTTTTTGATAGCAGCCATCCTAGTGGGTGTGAGGTGCTATCTTCTTGTGGGTTTGATTTGCATTTCTCTGATGATAAGTTTCGATGTTGAACATCTTTTCATATGCTTTTTGACCATTTGTATATCATCTTTGGAGAAATGTCTTCAAGTTCCTTGCCCATTTTTAAATTGGGGATTTTAATTTTTTGTTGTTGGGTTATAGGGATTCTGTATCTATTCTGAATATTAACCCCTTATCAGAGACAGGATTGCAATTTTTTTTTCCTATTTCATAGGTTGCCTTTAAAATGTTTAAGTTTGACGTCCCATTTCTGTATTTTTGCTTTGTGCTTTTAGTGTCATATGCAAGAAATCATTGTCAAATCCAATGTCATCAAGCTTTTCCCCTATATTTTCTTCTATGAGTTTTATGGGTTTGGTGTTATGTCGGGCGGCAGGCTGTGGATCCTGGTAACTCTCTATCAGCGCCCTCTTGCCAGACGGGATCTCCTCCTCTAGTAACATCTGCAGCTCTGCCATTTTCCACCCCTCTGCATCGCTTCCTCTCGCGTTAAAGGGACAGAGGCAGCAAGGTCCGCCGAGGAGCCGAGCACCTCACAGCCCCGATACAAACCGCCGACCGCCCTCCCGCCTGGTATTGTGGGACGGCACCTCCTCCTCTTCCGCCTCACTCTCTCCACCCCGCTCCGCTCACTTCGCGCAGCCGCCTCAATCCCGTTCTCTCGCGAGCCCTCACGTTTTCCCTCCTCCTCCCCGCCACCACGGGATTTTTTTCTTTGCATGGTCTTCTGGGAATTGTAGTCTCTCGCGGTCTACGCGGCCCATCGAAAGCGCATGCGTTTAGGGGAGCCTCCGAAAAAGAACGGGGAGGAGCGTAAAGGACAGCCCAGGGAGGAAGTTTAAGTGCGAAGTTTCCCGACATCTCCGGCAGGTGGCGCCACAGGGTGACTCTAGAGAATAAAATCCTTTCCCCGAGAAGGCTGTGAAAATTGGCAGAATTTGCTTGATTAGGAAGTGTCAGTGAATAAGAGATACCAATTCTGATACGGGATTAAGAAGGGCTAGAATATGAAGAAATCCAAATCTTTACTTCCTCTTCTCAGACATAACGCGACTCAGGCTTTACTTTCTAAACTTCCTGCACCCTCAATTTTTCATTTAAAATTTAGCAAACATTTATCATTGACAGCTCTGTACCAAGCAATGTACTACACACTGGGGGTATGGGTTGAACAAGGATGCTCTGTACCTGTAGAGACTCACAATTTAAAAATAAATACACATAATTTCAGTGTTATCCCATCCTAATCGCTTTTTCTTTGTCTCTTCTTTGCAAATATCTCCCTACACTTTTGAAGTTAGGTACGCATTATCTAGATTACAGAAAATCATTTCGTTGTCTTTCTTTATCAACTGCTTTGTAATAGTGTAAAAGGCCCTATATCTCAAGATTTTCGTTTCAACAAGAACATTAAATGCTTTTGAAATAATGAGCTATGAATAGTGGTGTCCAATGGCCAAAAAGCAAACTAATTTAAAAATCATTTAAAAATCCATATTTCATCTCTCCACTAAGTCATTTCAAATCACAATAACTATAGGGATAATAACATGACCCAGTCACATTTTTAAAAACTGACCCATCAATAGGTATTTATTGAATATTATCTTTACTAGAGGCCATAAAATGTTCAACCTGTAAAAGGAAAAATTTCAGTCTCCTACATGAGAAAACTACCCCCAGCCACCAGATTCCCAGATCCATAAATCAATAAACAGCTTACTCTCCATAATTATCTGGAATAGACATGATAGTCTTTCTTTAATATTTTCCTTAATCCAAGCATTATTTCATCCAAGTTCTTGAAATGTGATATATTTGGTGCCCAAATAGGGTGTCTTCTCTTGATCAGATGGGGGCCCCCAAAGATGGGGCCACAGTTGGGTGGAAGCCACTAGCACCAGCAGTTAAAGAATTCAAGTGAAGCAGAAGGAAATAGAAGGTTATTGAATCCACCGCAAGGGGGCCAGGGGCAGGACAGCAGAGAGGCTGTCTGCAAGGCGTCAGTGGGTGGGGGCTGTTTTTAAAAGGGGAAGACGAGGAGGTATGGCGACATATGCAATATTCCCTTTTTTGGGAACTGTGCCCAGTTGTAAGTAGCCCATTGGTTAGTTAGGGCCTGTGGATATTTTGAGGTGGGTCCCCTGATGGGCTTGTCTGTATTTAGCCAGGTGGTCGATGTGCCCTTTCTACATTCCATTGTTCCAGCCTGTTTGCCTAAAAACAGCCTTTACAATAAATTCTTTTTTTTTTTAATGTGATATATTCTTAAATTTGGTCTCCACATGAGCCAGAATTAACTACAGTCATCACTAAGCTTGCTTACATCCATATATTGACACCTTTCTTTCTTTTTTAGTTTTGTTTTTTGGTTTTTTGTTTTAGTAATCTCTATACCCAACGTGGGGCTTCAGGTCAGGACCCTGAGATAGAGGGTCACATGCTCTTCTGACTGAGCCCGCTGGGTGGCCCCATATATTGATATCTTTCAACAGCACTGGGGAGGTAAATAAACAGTTGCCCCTGCTTTACTATTTTCAAAGTATTACCAGATTTCTTTCATGCCCACAACTCTGAGAGATAAATGACCTAACGATTTGTTTCTATCTTTACCAAATAAGGAAATTTAAGCTTAGACAGCAAGGGATTTAACTAAGAACACTGAAAATAATAAAGTTCTCTGATTTCTAGATCAGTGCTCTTTCCTACAATCCAGTTAAATCTATCTGTTCAAATACTTGTGATTCATATAAAATCCATTCAAAGAAGTTATCCCTCATACCTCCAAGTTAATTGAATTGAATATGCTATCCTTTGTATTTTTATTTTTAAAAAATAGTTTGATAGTTATAGTCTGTAATCAGACAATGTTTCTTTTTTTTTTTTTAAGATTTTATTTTTTGAGCGAGAGAGAGTGAGCAAGAGAGAGAGAGAAAGCACCAGCCAGGGGAGGGGCAGAGAAGCAGACTCCCCGCTGAGCAGGGAGTCTGGGATCATGACCTGAGCCAAAGGCAGACACCTAACCGACTGAGCCACGGGGTGCCCCCAGGCAATATTTCTTAATTTAAAACCAAATGGTGTCAACTACACTTCAACTTAAAAAAGGGTATTTGTGGGTGCCTGTGTGGCTCAGCTGTTTAGCATCTGCCTTCGGTTCAGGTCATGATCCCAGGGTCCTGGGATCGAGCCCCACATCGGGTTCCTTGCTCGGCAGGGAAGCCTGCTTCTCCCTCTCCCACTCCCCCTGCTTGTGTTCCCTCTCTCGCTGTCTCTCTCTCTGTCAAAAAATAAATAAAAATCTTTAAATAAAAAAATAAATTTAAAAAAAAGGGTATTTGTGGGGCTAAAACTGTAAAACACAGCACCATACGGTAGCCATGGGCTTTCAATACAACTCAAAATAAGAAATATTCTATACAACATGACCCAGAACATAGATATATATACTTGCTGGTATAAAGGTTTTACAAAACTAAATATGATATACTCAGATATTTCCTGTTCTATTTCATTTCACATAATGCTGATAAGGATCACTGAATTGATTTCATGACCCACGGTTTGAACACCATTTTTCCCCTCACTAAATTAAGCAAATATGACTCTATACCATAAGTATATGTTACTATCATAAATTTATGTTGTTATAAACTTAAAAAATCAGTTATTAACAGACAAACCAGAAAAATACACATATTCAAAGATTTAATAGAATAAAATTGCAGAATAAAATTTAGCTGAAGGATCTAAATTTCTGTACCAAAACAGCTTCCTTTATACAACCCTATTCAAAATCCTAATAGGTTTGTAAAAATTGACAAGGTGGTTCTAAAACTTGTTTGGAAATGCAAAGACCCTAGTATAGCCAAGAAAATACTAAAGTAGAAGAATGAAGTTAGAGGATACATGCTACCAAGTTTCAAGATTTACTATAAAGCTACAGAAATTAAGACAATGTGAACCTGATGTAAGAACAAACACAAACAGGGCGCCTGGGTGGCTCAGTCGTTAAGCCTCTGATTCGGCTCAGGTCATGGTCCCAGGGTCCTGGGATCGAGCCCCGCATCGAGCTCCCTGCTCCGCAGGAAGCCTGCTTCTCCCTCTCCCACTCCCCCTGCTTGTGTTCCCTCTCTCGCTGTGTCTCTCTCCATCAAATAAATACATAAAATCTTAAAAAAAAAAAAAAAAAAAAAAAAAAAAAACCTAACAGTTAAATTATTATATACCTCAGTTTAGTAATAACTAACATTTTAATGTAAATACACTTTAAGATCATTAAAAATAGAATATTCTGCAGTCCATCCACATGCATCTTCAGAAAAGATATTAATACCTTGCTGAAGAAGAACCCTGACTAGATCTGCAGAATCATAATGTACAGCAAGCGTGAGGGCTGTTCTAAAATAACAGAGAACTTCACCCTTAGGAACTTAAGAGTTGGGCGCCTGGGTGGCTCAGATGGTTAAGCGTCTGCCTTCGGCTCAGGTCATGATTCCAGGGTCCTGGGATCGAGCCCCGCATCGGGCTTTCTGCTCAGTGGGGAGCCTGCTTCTCCCTCTCCCTCTGTCTCCCCCCTGCTCATGTTCTCTCTCTCTCTGTATCTCTGTGTCTCAAATGAATAAATAAAATCTTTAAAAAAAAAAAAAAAAGGAACTTAAGAGTTATTTAAACAGCTAATTTGATATACTTTTTTTTTTTTAAAGATTTTATTTATTTATTTGGCAGAGAGAGACACAGCGAGAGAGGGAACACAAGCAGGGGGAGTGGGAGAGAGAGAGAAGCAGGCTTCCCGCTGAGCAGGGAGCCCGATGCGGGGCTCGATCCCAGGACCCTGGGATCATGACCCGAGCCGAAGGCAGACGCTTAACGACTGAGCCACCCAGGCGCCCCAATTTGATATACTTTATCAGGTTAATATCTTGCCTGTCAGTACAGAATTGGCCATTAACATGTTCAAGTGCTCATCTTTGTAAATAACTCCACGGCTAAAATGAAAGGACAAAAAAGAAGCCTCTTGTCCTACTTGTCTATGACAGTAGAAGTTGCTAATTTAAAGTCCTTTGATAGGGGCCTCTGGGTGGCTCAGTCGTTCAGCGTCTGCCTTCGGCTCAGGTCATGATCCCAGGGTCCTGGGATCGGGCCCCGCATCGGGCTCCCTGCTCGGCGGGAAGCCTGCTTCTCCCTCTCCCACTCCCCCTGCTTGTGTTCCCTCTCTCGCTGTGTCTCTCTCCGTCAAATAAATAAATAAAATCTTAAAAAAAAAAAAAAGAACAGACACAAATATATGCATAAATTGGATTGATGACAAAAGTGCCAGTGCAATTCAAGGAGGGAAAGGATTCTTTTTCCTCAGTAAATGTGCTGGAGCCACTGGACACTTGTTTTTTGTTGTTGTTGGTGGTGTGTTTTTTTTAATGAACATTGAACCTACCTCACAACATGCTCCAAAATTTATTCATATTCAGAATATATCATAGGTCCAAATGTAAAAGGTAAAGCAATAAAGCTTCTTTTTTTAATTAAAGATTTTTTTAAGAAGATTTTATTTATTTATTTGACAGACACACAGTGAGAGGGGGAACACAAGCAGGGGGAGTGGGAAAGGGAGAAGCAGGCTTCCCGCCGAGCAGGGAGCCCAAAGTGGGGCTTGATCCCAGGACCCTGGGATCATGACCTGAGCTGAAGGCAGGCGCTTAACGACTGAGCCACCCGGGCGCCCCTTAATTAAAGATTTTATTTATTTATTCATCAGAGAGAGAGAGAGAGCACAAGAAGGGGGAGCAGCAGGCTCCCCACTGAGCAAGGAGCCCAACTCAGGACTAGATCCCAGGACCCCAGGATCATAACCCAAGCGGAAGGCAGACGCTCAAACCAACTGAGCCATCCAGGCATCCCAGCAATAAAGCTTCTGCAAGGAAATATCAAATAACTTCACAAGTGTGGGGTAGGCAAAGATTTCTTAACCAGGATACAGTAAGCACTAAAAAATAAAGAAAAAATGGAAAAACTGCTTTTTAGTGAAGTGTGAAGGTGAGACATTACATTCATTTCCAAAGCTGCTGAAACAAATTACAACAAATTTAGTGACTTAAAGCAACACTAATTTATTATCTTCACAGCTCTGGAGGTCAGAACAGTCAGCTAAAATTAAGGTGTCGATAGGGCTTTGTTCCTTCTGGGGACTCCGGAGAATATGTTTCCTTGCCTTTCTAGGTTCTAGAAGCTACCTACATTCT